GATTCTATGTCTCCCTCTCTCTCTGCCCCTCCCCAACTCACGCTGTATGTCTCTCCCTCTCAACTATAAATAAACATTTAAAAAAAAGAGAGACAGGGAAATGACCGTGCTATTGTTCTTTATATTTAATAATGCCGAATAAAATACTAATCAATTTCCTAACATTGAACCAACCTTGCATTTATGGAATACATTCCACTTTTTCATTTTCTTTGAACAAAAGGAAAAAAAAAACAAGAAGAATTAACCAGTCACCTAAAACAGTGACTGCTCACAAGCTACTTCCCATAAATGCAGTAGAAATCTTTTGGCCATCAAATGAGTTTTTATAAGAACCCTACATTATTGTAAATTAATTTTTGACAAAGTGCCAAAACAATTCAATGAGCAAAAAACAGTCTTCTCAAAAAAAAGATGCTGGGACAAGTGGATACCCGCATACTAAAAGTATGAAGTTGGAACCCTACCCTACGGCATGTGCAAAACTTAACTCAAAATGACCAGAGGCCTAACCTGTAAGAGCTAAAACTACAAAAACACTTAGAAGAATATGTAAGTGTAAATAAATCTTCATGACCTTGGATTAGGCGATGGATTCCTACATATGACACCAAAAAGCACAAGCAATAAAAGAAAAAAATCAACTTAAAATCAAAATGTAAAACTTTTGTATTTCAGAGAAAACTATCAAAAACATGAAGACAACCCATAGAATCGGAGAAATCATTGCAAATCGTATATCTGATAAGAGTCAAGTGTACAGAATATAAAAAGGATTCTTACAACACAAGAATGAAAGACAACTCAATTTAAAGATGAGCCTCTCAGGGCGCCTGGGTGGCTCAGTTAATTGGGCATCAGACTTCAGCTCAGGTCATGGTCCCACTGCTTGTGAGTTTGGGCCCCGCATCGGGTTCTGTGCTGACGGCTTGCAGCTTGGAGCCGGGAGCCTGCTTTGGATTCTGTCTCCGTCTCTCTGCCCCTCCCCAACTCAAGCTCTGTCTCTCTGTCTCTCTCTCTCTAATATGAAAAAGAAAATTAAAAAAAAAAAGATGAGCGTCTCCTCTAAATCTTCTTGTCCAAAGAAGATACACAAATGGCCAATAAGCACACAAAAAGTTGCTCAACATCGTGAAGTCATCAGGGAAATGCAAATCAAACTGCAGTAAGGTATCGCTTCATGCCTGTGACGAGGGCTATGATCAAAAAGACAAGTAATAACAAGTGTAGGCGAGGATGTATGAAGGTGGAACCCTCACACGTTGCTGGTGGAAATGTAAAATGGTCAAGATACTTTGAAAACAGGCTGGCAGTTCCTCAAATGATTACAAACAGAGCTACCATATGATCCAGCAATTCTACTCCTGGGTGGAACTCAAGAGACATGAAAACACAAAAACTTGTACACAGATGTTCAAAGCAGCATTATTCAAAAATAACCAAAAAGTGAAAACACTCAAATGTCCATAACTGATAAATAAATAAAATGTGGTATGTCCACACAATGGAGTATTATTCAGCCATAAAAAGGAGTGAAATACTGATTCATGCAACAACATGGATGAACCATGGACACACCATGCTAAACAAAGAAGCCAGCCCAAAAGGCAGACTGTGTGTTATGTGAAATGTCCAGAAAAGACAACTCCATAAAGACAGAAGGCAGATTAGTGGTTGCCAGGGTCCAGGGAAGAGGACAAAAAGGAATGACTTCTAATAGGTAAGAGTTTCTTTTTGGGGTGATGCAATGTTCTGAAATTAGATGGTGGTGGTCGTTACACAACTCTGAACCACTGCACTATATAGTTTAAAAGGATGAATTTTGGGGCACCTGGTGGCTCAGCTGATGGTGCATCTGGCTCTTGATTTCAGCTCAGGTCACGATCTCACTGTTCATGAGATCAAGCCCCATGTTGGGCTCTGTGCTGACAGCACTGAGCCTGCTTGGGATTCTCTCTCTCCCTCTCTCTTTGCCCCTCCACTGCTTGTGCTCTCTCTCTCTCTTAAAATAAACATGAAAAATAAGATAAAATTAAAATAAAAAAATAAAATAAAATAAAACAAAACAAAATAATGAATTTTAGGGGCACCTGGCTGGCTCCATTGGAAGAGCAAGCAACTCTTGATATCAGGGTTGTGAGTTCAAGCCCCACACTGGGCATAGAGATTACTTAAAAAAACAAACAAACAAAAAAAAAACCCTTAAAGCAAAAAGGATAAATTTTACAGTATATGTACTGTTATCAACTAAAAAAATTATATATTCTTTTTTTTTTTAAATTTTTTAAGTTTATTATTTTGAGAAAGAGA